GCAGATTCTGTTTCATTAAAGGAATAGGAGAAAAGGGCTCATTTAATTTTTCTTAAATAACAGTGCTCAAATTGTGGTCCAGAGGTTTGAGGGGCAGTGAGAATGGGTTCTAGAAGCCAGTTGCCCAGATCTGTTCCTGTGTGTGCATCTTGTGTGTCCCTGTTGAGCTGTGAAGGAGCCCAGCATGTTTGCTGGGTCTTTTGGCCGTGGTGTTGGAGCTGAGACCTCAGGGCTCTGGCTGTGCTGGGAGGCTGACAGCTCAGGGGTGGCAGCTGCCATGCAAGGTGTGGTTGCAGCTACCTGTGGACTGAAAACAAAAATGCCAATAGTTCATAATCCCTAGGATTTATAACAGTTTTGAGGGGGCAGCAGGAAGCAGAGCTCTGGTTGCTGCTGTGTATGTCCCCTGGGAGCCCAGAGCAGCAGAGGGGCTGGGCAGCCTTTGGCAAGGAAGTCCCTGGATTTCTTGTGTGGAGGAAATTGTTATAAACAGGATGTTTGCTCCAGCCCCGTTCCAGGCTGCAGACCCTGCAGAAGGTGCTCAGAGCCCCCTTGCCCAGACCCTGGGCTAGGAGGAGGTCTGGGTGCTCCCCCTGTCTCTAATGGATGTGAAGACACCACTTTCAGGATGTCAGCATTGGAGCAGAGACCCCCACAGATCTCATACCTTTGGTTCACAGGACTGCAGGAGCTTTTTTTGGGACTGGGTGTGCCTGTTATGTGGTGCTGCTGTGATTCCACAGAGAGCCCTGTGCTGGGTCCCAGGTCTTGCGGGTCACGAGGGGGTTGCTGGGGCCAGCTGAGCATGGTACAGGCAGCAGCCTGGTACAACACTGAGACTGTCCCTGTCACTGGAGTGGTTACTGCTCCAGCTGTGTTTGGGACAGCCCATCTGTCAAAGCACATGGAAACAGTCCTAAGCAGAGATGGACCCTAAGCAGCCCTTGGGTCCACCACCAGCCTCCTGGCTGCACAGATACACAGGCTCTTGTCAACAATTCTTTTCTAAAATCCTCCCAGCTCGTTCCTCATGATAGCCAGAGCACAGGCTGCCCACTTTGGGGTGTTAGCAACTGTCTGACCACCCCCCTCCCCACTGTGGGCCTGAGGATGGTGCCTGTGCAGCCTCCGCTCTCCATGAGCTTCCTGCACCCTCCAGCTCACACAGAGACATCTGTGTGCTGCTGCCACCGGGCCTGCCTTCCTACCTTCTTCAATGGTGAAATGTTTTTCAGGCTGGCCCTGCTCCTGGAAGGAAGTGTGCATGGTGAATGAGCTCTGGGATTGCCAGTTGCATTTATTTAAATCCGGTTTTCTGGGCTGAAATGAGCCCATTAGGTTTTTGGATGTTCAGACTATCTGGCCACACCCGTCATTATTTTTTGGCAACTCTGCCCTTGTTGAAAATACATATTTTTAAGTTTTTCATGTTTCCCTTATTCCCAGTGCCTGGCTTGCAGCCTGCTGTGCCTGCATAAACATACACGGCCATGCTGGTTCAGATGGGCTGATTTCCCTAACTTTCTCATTGCTAGACTGCAAACCCAAATGACACTTGGTGAGGTTAGATGCATCCCACACAGATCCAGAGTAGAGTGTGTTGTGCTTGGCCCTTCCCCATTTAAAAGCTCATTGTGTGTAACCAGAGCACGTTTTGGCTGTGGCCCTGATAGGAAACCTCAGCACTGCATCTGCCTTGGGCAGTGGGAACCACGCTGGGTTCCCAGGGCTCTGGTGGCTGTGGCTGTCACCCAGCCAGCTGCTTTCTGTGTGTCAACCCCCTCAAAATTAAAATTATGTTTCTCGTTCTGCAGGCTGTGTAAGAGGAGCTGTGTGAGATGCCAGGGAACTTCATTTAGTTGGGACATACAGAGGCAAAAGCTGCAAAGCTGCTTGCTGAGCTTCAGTAGTGAAAGCACCCAGCTCTCCTGGATGGCAAGGGCCATGTTAGCAGCTGATTGGGACTGAGTTGTTTGACATTTTGGGACTGTTTAGATTCAAGAGCTGAGCCTGGTAGCAGAGACAAGCTTTTCATCAGACCTTCTCTACTGATTGAACATAAAGGAGGCTGTTGCTTGAGCCTGGAGACCTCTCTCTTTGGTTAGGTGAGTTCCTAAGGCACCTGCTTTGGCAGGAGCAGGCAAGGATTGTTCATGACAGACAAACAAAACCTGGGCTGTCATTCAGTGATAAGACAGACTCGTTTGTGCAGGCAGGTATCTGCCAGCCAGAGCAGAGTGCAAGGCTGCAATATATTCAGGGATCAGGGATGTTGGATCTGGTTTACATTGTCCTTTTGCAGTGGCCGCAACCCCAGTGCCCTGGGCTCCAGTACTGCAGCCTGTGTTTGCCTGCTCTTGGCTGGTCTGGGCTAGTGACAGGTTGGATGGCCTGGCAGAGGGCAGGTGCCACAGGTAGGATCATTGTACAATTGTGTGGAGATTCCCTCACCAGGCTGACTGTGCCAGCAGGGCGCTGTGTGTCTGCTCAGCCCTGCAGAGCAAGGGGAAGCCCTTGCCCTCCCATGTGGCAGGTTGGCTTGTTTGGGGTTTGCTTCTGGCACTTTGGTGTCTATAGAGATCAGAAAGGGCTGGTATCTGCTGATGGTGTTGTCTGCTCTGATGAACATGATGAGGAACAGTATAAAAATAATAGGTTGAAATGGGCCTCCTGGCTGGGTTTATTTTCCCAGCAGTGTCTCCCTTCTGACTCTTGGACCTGGGCACATTCTTGCAGAGCAATTCAAGGTTTGCTGAATCCCAGCACCTGATCCTGCTCCCCCTTCTCCAAAACAAAGAATTTTTGTCTTCTACCTCAGTCCAGGTCCATAATAGCATTTGCCTTCTCCACATATAGGAAGTGCAGGGCAAAAGGGTAGATGTGGCTCTCCTGGAGCTGCAGGATTAAACCATGGGAAAGAAGGAGCTTGAACCTTCTCCCCTCAGCTCCTGGTCCAGTGCTTAGGGCAGTGTTTCATAACATGACCTCCACTTGAAGGGCTTAGAGAGCTGTGCTGGTAAACACTGCCTCAGTCCTTGTCCTCAAAATAAACTCTGGCATTTCACCTCTGCAGTATGTTGCCCTGTGTTGCCTCAACAAGGAGAAGAAGAGCTTGCTGGGGAGGTGAAGCAGCTCTTGTCCCTCATAACCCCTGGCTGCTTGAAATTTTAATCTGTTTATCTGAGCAGCCGCATCTGCCCTGAAGGGGAGCAGGGAGCTGTGGTTGGAACTGAGGCCCCCTGGGAACAGCTCTGGCTGAGCCTGTGCAGCAGTGAGAGGGAACAGGACCCACATCCCCAAATTGCCAGGGAAAGGCCCACCCTGTGGATGCTGCCCACCCAGAGTGGGAGCAGAAGGACCAGGTGGGTGGGTGTGGGGTTGACTGTCAGGACTTTATGCACGTCCCTGGTCAATGTAGCCAACCTCTTTATTCACTTATTTTCCCCTCAAGTTGCTCAGAATCAAGAGAGCAATGAACTACTGAGCAATGTGACAGGGGAAAAAAAAAAAAAAAGGTAGAAAAAAAAAATGAAAGACCCAACAGCCCTCCCTGCCTCTCAACTGCCAAAGAAAATCCTGCCTGATTTCTCCCAGCCACGTCAGCTCCCAGCTATGACAGCTATCTCATCCTGTTGGCAAGGCTGCTCTCTGGAGCAGCCCTCGCTCCAAAATGCAGTGGGAAAAGATGTAAACAGAGAGGAAGCAGGAGCTGAAGCTGCTTGCTCGGGGTGGGCGTCCAGGTATGGGGCGTGAGGCCAAGCACAGCTGCTGGGGATGTCACAGCACAGGGGATGCTCCCTCCCGAGGAGCTGCTGCGAGCAGGATCTGTCCCTGGGGTGCTGGCTCCTGCTGGGGATGCCTGGGGTGGAGCTGCAGGATTAAACCATGGGAAAGAAGGAGCTTGAACCTTCTCCCCTCAGCTCCTGGTCCAGTGCTTAGGGCAGTGTTTCATAACATGACCTCCACTTGAAGGGCTTAGAGAGCTGTGCTGGTAAACACTGCCTCAGTCCTTGTCCTCAAAATAAACTCTGGCATTTCACCTCTGCAGTATGTTGCCCTGTGTTGCCTCAACAAGGAGAAGAAGAGCTTGCTGGGGAGGTGAAGCAGCTCTTGTCCCTCATAACCCCTGGCTGCTTGAAATTTTAATCTGTTTATCTGAGCAGCCGCATCTGCCCTGAAGGGGAGCAGGGAGCTGTGGTTGGAACTGAGGCCCCCTGGGAACAGCTCTGGCTGAGCCTGTGCAGCAGTGAGAGGGAACAGGACCCACATCCCCAAATTGCCAGGGAAAGGCCCACCCTGTGGATGCTGCCCACCCAGAGTGGGAGCAGAAGGACCAGGTGGGTGGGTGTGGGGTTGACTGTCAGGACTTTATGCACGTCCCTGGTCAATGTAGCCAACCTCTTTATTCACTTATTTTCCCCTCAAGTTGCTCAGAATCAAGAGAGCAATGAACTACTGAGCAATGTGACAGGGGGAAAAAAAAAAAAAAAAGGTAGAAAAAAAAAATGAAAGACCCAACAGCCCTCCCTGCCTCTCAACTGCCAAAGAAAATCCTGCCTGATTTCTCCCAGCCACGTCAGCTCCCAGCTATGACAGCTATCTCATCCTGTTGGCAAGGCTGCTCTCTGGAGCAGCCCTCGCTCCAAAATGCAGTGGGAAAAGATGTAAACAGAGAGGAAGCAGGAGCTGAAGCTGCTTGCTCGGGGTGGGCGTCCAGGTATGGGGCGTGAGGCCAAGCACAGCTGCTGGGGATGTCACAGCACAGGGGATGCTCCCTCCCGAGGAGCTGCTGCGAGCAGGATCTGTCCCTGGGGTGCTGGCTCCTGCTGGGGATGCCTGGGGCTGTGTCCTGGGAAGCACCGCAGCCTCTGCATCCCCAAAAAGGCAGCTTTGCCACGTGGGGAAGCAAATCCCGGTGCTTTGCATCATCTCCCCCACCTGGTGGGCTTTGCGTGGTGAGACATGGGCCTAACTATTGCCTCTCTCTCTGCTCTCCCCAGATCATGATCGAGTTCTGCCCGGGCGGGGCTGTGGATGCCACCATGCTGGGTGAGTGCAGCGGGCCGGGCTCTTCTCCTGCTCAGGGCGATGCCCGCTGGGCATTTCCAGCCTTCTGGCACCTTTTCAGGGGCAACCTTTGGACAGACAGCAGACGTGGGTGCCCCAGCTTCTCCAGCTACCGTGTCTCTCCCATGAGTTTGCCTATTTTCATACGCAGAGCAGAAGGTGTGGCAGCCCCAGGACATTTCTTGAGCTACTTTCATGTCCTTTTGTGATTTAAATGCTGCTGGGATCAGCAGATCACAAGGCATGGGGAGAAGAGAGAGTCTGGTTGGAGGGGAAAAATGGCTTTAAATATTTATCTGCCAGAGGAACCGAGTGCTTGGGATCTGTTCCCACAGCTTCCCGGGAAAGACGGGGCTGAGATGTTTAATCTGGGTGCCTGTCATGATGAATCTCCCAGGATCTCCTTGCTGACTTCTCCGTATGGTATCGGTCATTTGGGGAGGCACCAGTTTCTGAATAAACTGCACTTTGCAGTAATTCCAGGAATCTTCCCCGTGTTAACTCCTCCCTTCCACATAGAGCAACTGGGACTGGGACCATGTGGGTGTTCCCCAAAAACGCCCTTGCTGCTGCCACAGCCCCCTGTGCTGGGGCTGCACAGACCCCAGGTGGGTGACACCCACTCCATGAGGTAAACACAGTTTTCTGACGACTTCTTGCCTGGAGCCCCTGGGACAGACCAGCGTCTCCTTGGGGTTACTCCCTTTCAGCTCTGATCTTTCCAAAGGCCTCTCTTTTTTTTTTTTATTTCCCAGGAAAGTAAGGACTCAAACTTACAATTTTGCTTCAGCCCCTAGAACTTGGGCCTCCATTAGGGATCTTCTTGAAAGTGGGTGGTTTAGAACATTGTGAGCAAGTGGCTGGAGTGCTGTCACCCCTGAGGTGAGGGGCAGGAGGAGCTGGGGTCACAGCTTCGAAGTGCTGCCAGCATTGGTATATTCACAGTTACTGGATGCTGCCTATTCCACTTCCCCATCCCCACCAGAAACTTTTGAAGTCCTTTGTACACAACCTGTGGCTTGCTGCACCTCACTTTTGCCAGGTGCTCTGGGGAGAGTGAAAATCATCATCTTCCCCCAGAACAAGGTGGACTTTGATGTGGAAGAGGACAAATAACACAGTGGCTGACCCACCATCCCCCAGCACCTGGTTAAGGTTCTTGCTGTGAATCAGCATCTGTCCCACTTGCTGGGGTCCATCCATCAGCTTCCATCCTGGCTGTGCAGTTTGGGCCATTGGAGGGGGGATCTGCACTACAAGGGGCTTGCAGAGGGAGGCAGCTCAGATGATGCTAACCATCTGGAGGTTTGATGGTTTGCAGAGCCATTGCCTTGGAAAGCTGCCTTGGACAGTGAAGGTGGCTGGGCAGAGCTCAGCAGGGAGGTTGTGCTGGTGGTCCTGTGTCCCTGCAGCTTTCAGAAATAGCAACAGGCAGCGAGGTATGAGCTGGTGTGTTGGTACCTGGTGCTACCTGAAAAACCAACTCAGAGCAGTGGGTGGGGGTAATGCTGTTGAGGATTTTATTGCTTGTTGCTTTGGGAGGTGGTCTGTCCCTCCTGATGTACAGGGGCCAGGCTGCCCCTCTGCAGCAGGAGTAGTTCCCTGGGGTGAGAGCTCCCTCTCTGCAGCATCATCCCTGCACCAGGTGAGACCCAGCTTGTCTGCAGGGCACGTGTGTACAGCTCAGACCCCTGTCACAAGTGTGCCTCTCTCCCCCTCCTCATTCCCCTCATCCACTATCCCTGTGGCAGTAGCTCAGCCATGTGTCCCCAGGAGGGACCTGTAAACCAGCAGCTCCAGGCTGGTGGGCATTGGGCTGCACGTGCTGCCTCAGGAATAAATTAACTTAACAGGCTGATTTGCATTGATCTCCTGGTGCTTTGATGCATGGATAGTGGTTTTTAAATGGCCCACTGGGTAGCCTGTGCCTTTCTGCTGTGCAGGTGGAACATCACTCTCATCCCTGTCCTGTTTAACCCTCTCTCCCTCCCTGCAGAGCTGGACCGGGGCCTGACTGAGCCCCAGATCCAAGTGATTTGCCGCCAGATGTTGGAAGCTCTCCAGTACCTCCACAGCAAGAAGATCATCCACCGTGACCTGAAGGCGGGCAATGTGCTCCTCACCCAGGATGGGGACATCAAGCTTGGTGAGCCACCTGGTGCAGGAGCGTGGTGGGTTCTCACTTGGGTGAGCTGGTCGGGAGAGTGGCCACGGGTGTTGGTGCTGCTTGGGACCATTTCACACTCTGCTAAGGACAGCCATGGGCTGCTGGGAGCTGGGTTGTAGAGTTCAGCTACACCCAAGCGTGGGAGGCATTGAGGGATGCTCTCTGCCTTCTGCCCTGCCTGTGGGACATTAGCTACTTGCCTTCTGGCCAATGAGTTCAGGCAGAAGAAGATGGGGGGAGACTTCATGTTGTTTCATGGGAGACCAAACCTACCATCGAGCTGTGTGCTGTGCTTTGGCTCCAGCTGGGCACCAGGACTCCCCAGGCTGCAGCCGTGCTCAGGCCCTTGATGGAGTTCCCTTTTGTGAATTTGTTTAATCCCTCTTTGAACTTTTTTTTAATGCTTTCTGGCCTGCTGAGCATCCTGTGAGGGGTGCCAGTTGGCAGGGCTAGGAGCTGGAAGAATTTGTCTTATCTCCAGAGCAACTCTGGTGGTGACAGGGCAAGTTTTGCCAAAGGGGTTGCTTTGCCAACTTGCTGTGGGCTTAAGTTGGCATCCACCTACCTGCTGGGGGATGACAAGGCAGCTTTGTATGTAGGGCCTGATCAGAATGGTGCAGATTTCTTTTTGGACCCTGATGAGGGGTGCTGGCAGCTATGGGACAGACTTGGGATGGGTCTTGGGATGATGGAAACCAGCTAGCCTGGGAAGATTAAAACCTTCATATGACCATGAGGTCTACTCTGACATAAGAAACGCTCTGCTGGCTTGGGCCAAGGATGACCCACAGTCAGGAACACCCTGAGCCTGGAGTGCAGATGGATCATAACTACTCTGGAGGCCATCAGGTCCATCTCAGAGAGCAGACTGACCTGGAGTGGGCTCACAAGCCTCTGCAGGTCTTACCAATTTGATTTGCATTGGGTTGACTTCAGCAGCTTTCTACAGAAGGGATAGAATCAGGGAAATACACAGTAGTTGTTTTGCATGGGGATGAAGGGAAGAGAAAAAATATAACAGCACTTTATTTTTTTCTGTTACAAAATGAGGCTTTTTGCTATGAAATAGCACTACTGAAAGTAATCTGCTTTGGTTTGTTTGTGGAAAAGATCTCGACTTGCCTCTAGATGTGTAGGGTTTGGGTTACAGCAGGGGTGGCTTGTTATGCCCCTCTCTTACAGCACATGGAAGGGGAGGGTCCCTGGTGGTTATGTGCCCAAAAGCAAATTTAATTTCTGATGCTCAGTTTAGAGGAAACAGCGCGTTGTATCATGTTATTGCCTTAAATGTGTGCTTGCTTTTAAATCTGCATTTCAGCCAACTGTGCTAATGCAGAGCAGCCTCTCAGTTTTCCTACAGCATCTAATGTTACTGCTCTTTGCAGCTGACTTTGGAGTGTCTGCCAAGAACATGAAAACCTTGCAGAAGCGAGACTCCTTCATTGGGACCCCTTACTGGTGAGTGACCTGCTTGCTAAGAGATCCTGTGTTAATGAGGAGTGTCACTCCTCTGATACCAGGCTTGCATCAGACGCTGATGGCTTTTGGGATGTGTTGGACCATAGGGCCTTACCAAGCATGGATGGGAGGATTTAAAAAAGCAGCCTGGGCCAGTGTCCACATGTGCAAGGGTTTCCCTGGCCTGAAGGGAGCTGTGAGCAGCCTCAGTGGTGTGGGAGCATTGCCCAGTGTCCAGGTGCCCTGAGCTGGCTGAGGGGCTACCACGCTCCAGGCTTGGAGGAGCAAGGGACACACGTGCGCTCGCGTGTGTGCGCTCCCTGCTCCCCGCAGCCGGGGGGGGGGTGGGCTTTGAAGCAGCTCCAAGCACATGGGAACGACTCGCCATTCCAGAAATGCAATCTCTAAATCACCCGACTTGCTGAAGGAATGGAATCAGCGAGGATTAATTTATTGTCTGGAGCAACATCCGCGCCAGATGTCAATGTCCTGGGGGTTTCCACGGGCTGTCTGGCTGGTCTGCGGAAGAGGGAGGGGGTTGGACCCCTTAGAAAAGATGCTACTTCTTCTGAAACCCAGAGCCGGGAGGAATGACTTCTTTTTGTGCAGTGCTGTGGCTTATTTAAAGCATTTAATTGCTGCTGCAAGGCTGACGCGTGCGGCAGCAGAGCCTGTCAGCCCTGCCATCCCTGCTCCTTGCTCTGCCCCTTGCAGGATGGCCCCGGAGGTGGTGATGTGCGAGACCATGAAGGACACTCCGTACGACTACAAGGCTGACATCTGGTCCCTGGGGATCACGCTAATCGAAATGGCCCAGATTGAGCCCCCCAGATTGCCAAGTCTGACCCCCCCACGCTCAGCTGCCCTTCCAAATGGTGAGGGGGTTTGGGCAGCAAAGCCTGAAGGGCTCATCTCCCAACTTATGTAGTATTGCAAGAGAGGAGAAAAATGGTCTTTTATAGCAGTACTGTTTAATTTGAGAACCAGTGTAGGTTTCTCAGTCCAGCTGTGTGCTGGGGGCCCCGAGAGCCCTGCTGGCTGAGGGCTGACAGTGAGCAGGCAGCACAGGGGGAGCTGCTGCCCACCCACAGCCCTGCTGATCCAGGGTGATCCCTTGGCTGTTTTCAAAACATCCCGGTTTTGCATGAAAGGCAGATTTTCCTTTAAACCTGGAGATGGCCAAGAGCTTAGAGACTTCTTTCCTGAAGTCTGAAACACCTCCTCTGTGTCTAAAAAATCCAAACAGTTTATTTATTATAACCATTATAAAGGCCACGGCATGATTGCCAGCAGCAAATTACTGGGATAGCACTGGAGTCACAGGTGTTGTTACTGCAGTTCAGGCAGCAGGACCCAGCTGAAAAACCCAGCAGGCAGGGTGGGAGCGCTTCCTCTGGAGCAGATCAGAAGCCAGAACTACTGGATCAGGGAGGTGCTTCACATCTCAGAGCTGTGCTTTGCAGGCTGAGGGTGCCCTCCTATGGGGTTCCTGCTCCTTTGCAGCTGTCCTTTCACACTGCGGCTGTGGGGATGGGTCCTGGAGCATCCTTGTTCGCAAGCATATCCAGCCATGGGCTTCCTTTGGAGCATAACTGCTGGTGTCCTCTCCTAACTCCCTACTTTGGCCCTGGGGCACAGTGGCTGGCACTCAGTCCTGCTGTCTGTTGCTGTCATAGGTAAGGTAAAATCTAGTCCCTCACATGGCCACGTTGCTGATTCTCTTACAAATAATCAGAATGAGTGAGCCCTGGCTTTCCCATGCTGGGAGTGAAACGGTGATTACAGCCAGTTGCAAACTAGGACACAGCCTGCAACGAGATGGAGCAGACCTCTGTGGTGTTCAAAGCCTTTTATGGGCTTCTCACCCACGACTGTGTTTAAAGGTCCCTGGAGTTCAGAGACTTCCTGAAGACAGCGCTGGACAAGAACCCGGAGACCCGGCCCAGTGCTGCCCAGCTGCTGGAGGTAGGGACCAGCCCCGGGGCTGGGGCTGGTGTCTGGGTCTGCTAGTGTCCCAGCCACCTGTGTCCTTATGGCCTGATCCTCCTTAAGGTAAAATGCTCCAAAAAGTGACAGCAGTGGTCCCTTTGGAGCAAACTACAGAGCCCCTATGGACACCAGCTGGAATAGAAATGGCTGGCATTGCCTAACAATGCCCACATGGCAGCCAGTTTGGATTGTACCTGGTTATCCCAGTTTGAAGTTCAACTCCTTTCCTTGCCTCCTACCCCTTTCCAAAATAATACCAAAAACCTGGAAGATGCTGTTCCCCACTGCCTGCGGGTGCTCTGGCTCTGCAGCACTGGTGTACTGGCTTCATGCTTCCTGACTGTTACCAGAGGGTGGTGTGGAAGGAGGGAGCATGCAACGTGCTCTGCAAACTTGAGGGACTCCCGGGCCTTTTGCTGAAGTTCAACACAAACACCCTTCTGTGTGCACTGAGCAATTTGAGCCCAATTTCAATAAAACTTTCCCCAGTGCTCTGTTTGGACCCAGGGATCCCACAGACCAGTTCTTGCCCTGCTCCTGGTGGCACTCTGCAGGCTCAGACCTGCACCCCAGAGCTCAGCCTGCCTACTGTGAGGGGGAGGACATCTCTGCAAGGAGACTTCCTTTTTTAAATGGAGTTGGTGCTCTTGTTTGGGGGTTGTTGACATGAAGCAGCTTTGCAGAGCATCTGTGTGTAGAACTAGCACTTGACCTTGCTGTTGTGCTCCATTTTGGTCTCACTCATATGTGCAGCACATACCTGTAAATTCATCTGAGGGGGGTTAAGCCTGGTCACACTGCCAAGATCCAGCTCCTTAGGTCTTTGCAGCTGTTCTAGAGCAGGAAGTGGTCCCTGCCATTGCTGTCCCCATGTCCTTGCTCAGCTGCCAGCTCCCGAGGTCCATTTTTTGGCCACCTCACGTGTGTGCATTGTGCTTGGCTTTTCAGCATCCCTTTGTCAGCAAGGTGACCAGCAACCGGGCCCTGCGTGAGCTGGTGGCCGAGGCCAAGGCTGAGGTGATGGAAGAGATCGAGGACAGTCGGGAGGAAGCAGAAGATGAGGACTCATCAGAGTCTGCCTCGGTAAGTGCTTCCAGCCCCATGCTGCCAAGTTTGTCAGTGTGACTGTGGTGGGGAAAGAGCCTGGTGAGTTGTCTTGACTCCAAAGGGCTGGTTTACAGCTCTTCTGGGCCCCATCAGGTTAAGGCGGAAGCAATTGCTTGGCCAGGGAGAGGCTTTTTTTTGGTTGCTGCCAAGGGCATGGGGAAACAATGATGCTGGTGGGTGGCCCAGCTGCCTGCTTGCAGGAGGGGTTTGAAAAAAGTGAATT